GACTCGACGGCACATAACAACAACAACAACAAGTGCAACTAGTGCTATTATATTTGGAATTACATACTTCTGCTTTTTACGTCACTCTTTGTCAATTTGCTGTATTGAGGTAATCTCGGTTTGCTGTGATGCTTAACCTTCTGCCATTGGGGTGTCAAATGCCATAATGGTTTCCCAGTGCAGACAGTGTTTGGTGGAGCTCCCAGTTGTAAAAAAGGTTTGGAAGCAGGAGTGACATGCACTTCCTAAACCATATTGCCTATGGAAACTCTATGAACTTGGAGAAACGACAATAGTTATGGAAAAGCATTAGGTCTTTTGTTCATAGTCTCTATGAGTTGCACTCAAGTCGACAACAGTCAACAACAACAACTATATCACTAAAGCTCCTTGTTAGCTGTTTAAGACTGATGGAGGAAAATCTTAACACATGGCTTGGAGAGAGATAAAGCTGGAGAAACAAGAATTGGCCATAATACGGGAAATCGTGCATGATATTTCAATAACTGAACTTTCTCTTGACCCAAAAATATTTGGAGTAGAAGAGTGACATTTTCATATTGTGTCCTAGTCAAGTGTGTCTGTACCCTGAGTAAAGGCTGAATGTAAGGGAAACATGGCAACTAGCTACAAGAGAGAAAGAATACTTGAACCTGTACCTTGCTCTGAGTGTCACTTGGACCAGGGTGCCAGTGACCACTTTCTATTGGCAGTTACGTCAAACCAGTCAGGAACTTAATACTAACATTTCTATAATTGACAGCCTTCATAGGACAAATCAGACTCTGCGCTCTTGGTCTACTGAATGTAGAAAAAGAAAAAAAAAACTAGTTGTGTTTCTAATTGAAAAGGTTGTGTGTCTCTGGTGGTTGAATACACCAAGAGCTGATGGGTATAGGGATTCACAGCCTTGGAATGGGATAAAGGCCAACTTTGAGTCAGAACCAATTTGTTAGCAGTTTGTCAGCAGGTGTATGCATATGTATCCACGTACATTAGATACAAGCTATTTATTAGATATATATTTGCAAATATTTTCTTCCAGAGTGTGCTCTCTTCATCCTCTTTATACTGTTTTTTTGAACAGCATACTTCCTTGTTTTACAGCAAAATAATGATTTTTATTTTATTTTTTAAAATATTTTTCTTTTATGCATCATGTTTTTCATGTGCCACCTAAGAAATCTTTGTCTGGACAATGTCACAAATACATTACAAACCTGTGTTTTATTCTCAGAAATTTGTGTTTTACATTTAGATCCAGGATTCATTTTGTAGTTGTTGATTGCCTTCAAGTTGAGCACGACTTATAGCGACCCTATGAACAAAAGGCCTGAAGCCTTTCTATAACTATTGACATTTATCAAAGTTCATAGAGTTTCCAGAGGCATGTTGTTTAGGAAATGGTTACCACTCCTGCTTCATTTAACTCTCTTATCTAGTGTGAGGAACGGACCAAGGTAATGAGAGTGGTAATAGAATCAGTCACAGGCTGCTCAGAGTGAAAACCACCAAGCGTGGATATAACCTGGAGGTCTTCACCACAGGCCAGCAGTCAACACTGCAATTGCTTGGGTCAACAATCAGTATCCTCAGAATCAGCAGTCCAGAAATCTAGAGAGGTAATGTGGTGGTCAAGTCCACCATCAAGGATCTCTCTAAATCACTGAGGAGCAATGATGTCAGTTTGAAGACTAAGGTGCAGGCCATGGTCTTCCCAAGTTCCTGTTATCCATCAGAGAGCTGGATGATGAACAAGGATGACATCAGAATTGATGCCTTTGAGTTTTGGAGCTGGAGAGAGTACAGAATACCCAAAAGAATAATCAGATCTGTTTTGGAGAAGGTTGAAAGAGTTCTCCTTGGAGACAAAGATGATGAAGCTTTGTCTCTCATACTTTGGACATGTTACTAGCTAAGGCTGTTCTTTGGAAAAGGATATAATGCATAGAAACATAAGTGTCAGTGAAGCAGAGGACACTTTCAATAAGATGGATTGACACAATGACTGCAGCAATGGGCTGGATTGAGTGTGTTGGAGATGATGAGGATGGCACAGGATATGACAGTGTTCAGGTCTGTTGTTCATAGGTTCCTTTAAGTCATATAAAAACAAGAAGAAAACTGGTGGAGCTCTAGTGGCTTAGTCCATAAGGAGATGTGGGTAATCTCCTGCCGTGGGATTTACAGATACTGAAAACCAGCTATGAGTTGGTTGTGATTCAATAGCAATGAATTGTGAGTTTTAAAGGAAGCTGTTGGGCAAGAAAGACTCAAGATATTGTAGGAACGGGAAAATTCTAAAATCATGAAGATAAGCAAGGCCATTGTTTTTTTTTTTTTTGTTTTATTTTTTTAACTTGGATGAGGTCACTAATGACCGTACGAAGACTATTTTCGGTAAAAAACAAACCTTTATGATACTGGAACTATATACAACTAACCACATTTTAAGAATTCCCCCTATAGAAGTACTTCTTCTATAGTTCTGAAACCCGAGCACTCCTAAAGGTCGCATGTCTTGAGGCACAAGTAATTCGGAGCTTCCTTATACAGGAGATGACTGAGACAGATCGTAGTCATTCCCACTGGGGCACTCCGGAATAAGCTTTTGGGAATAAATAAACAGAACCACGTTCACCGCTGGGTTTACCAATTTGACAGCTCACCAAGGTGATGGACAGCCAAAATTCCAGCCCATTGAGATGGAGGGAATGGAGAAATTGCAGAGGCAATGGGATTAAGGATGTCGGAGACAATGAGTCTGGCAGATATAGCAGGGTTCAGAGCTCTTGTACTCAGGAGTCGCTACATCAGAGGGAATGAGAGGTCCTACTTGTCACGCCCAGATGATCGAGTGGGGCCCGCACTAGCCGCTCCTTCTCTTCCACCCGTCAACCTCCCTGCAAGGCTCATCCTGGATGGCTTCTCTTACTTAGCCCCGGGATAGCGCTGTTTAAACCACGGGCAGCGGGTATTGTGCGCTTTCGGGTCCTTGGACGAACCTTTCAACTTCCCCATCTCGAGCCCAGATCACTAAACCTGGAGGCAGGAGCCTGAGACTTCCTTCCAAACCTCGTAGCACGCTCGCTCCTCCCTCCCGAGAGTCGTAAAATGCTGTAAAGGCGTCGGTGTTTTGCGGCAATGTATGTGAAGCCGGTGGCGTGGGTGTCTTCTCTGTGTGGTTCCTCTGTCGCTGCGGCTGCAACGTTAGAAGAACGCATTTAGGAGTGTGGTACCCACAGGGAACTAGCTGCGATTCTTTCTCCGGGTAAATTGTTGCTTCCAAGTTTGGGTACTAGGAGAGAGAGTGGAGTAGGAGTTGTAAGACACATTTATTCCATTCCTAACTTAAGAGAAGTGAAAAGTTCTAAACCTCACCAAAAATAGCTGTCCCTCCTTTACTTTGGCTTTCATCAATAGATTCATGGCTAGTGTAAGGTCGACAGCTAGATTTTAGGCTTCCTTGGTGCAGCTGACACTTGTCTTTCTTGTTCACTTCGTCCTGCAGTCTCCCTTCTGGAATTTGAAATGCTTTACCTGGTCGGCTTGGGCCTGGGAGATGCCAAGGACATCACAGTCAAGGGCCTGGAGGTGGTAAAGCGTTGCAATCGAGTGTATCTGGAGGCCTACACCTCGGTTCTGAGTGTAGGGAAGGAAGCCCTGGTAGGTGCTTAAGCTTCCCCAGTTTTATGGAAAGGAAGCAAACATCTGCTTTTTACTGCAAATATTTGGATAGTATTTTCACCTCTGCTTTGTTTTTAAAACATCTCTGCTCATTAGATATGTGACGAGTACAACAGTCGAAATCATATTTTAACCAAGTGTCTTGGAAAGGAAAAGATTTTTTTTGGTCTTGCTTTACAATTCTAATGTGTGACTTTTTTCAGTAAATAGGAAAGGAAAAAGTTATTGCATACTCTAGGGAATACTTTGAAAATCCCTCATTTCATTAAATAGTCAAGAACTCCTTTCTGAGTGCTAATGAGGTACTGACACAGTCTTAATGAGTTGGTTATGTATGCAGAAACTAAGCTGAAAGCCTCCCCTTTTGAAGTAATTCCATAGAGGATGGTAATCTTTCTGTGCCATATCCAGAGAGAGTTTTACCTTTCGGTAGCTCTCTTCCAATAGAGTTTACATCCATACAATTGTATTTATTGAGCATAGACAGTAAGTAGCTGTAGGATTTGTTAAAAGAGTATCATGCTCATTAAACTGGTTGACCCCTAGTGATCTCCATAGGGTTTCCAAGACTGTAAATCACAGAGGAGACTGCACATCTTTCTCCTAAAGAACCCCTAGTGGATTCCAACTGCCTTTGATTAGCAGTGCTGCTTCCTACAAACTACACCACCAGACCTCCTTCATTAAGAACTTCATACCTCTTGGAAAAAGGGTCAAGTTCATTGTCACACTCCCTTTAGACCATTTTTAAAAGATATTGTGGACATGTTATCAAGATGAAAGGAGGGGAGATTTTAAAATTGTTTATATGAGGAACTTCCAAATAGGTGTAAAAAACTTCAAGTGTTTTGGTCTCTGAGGCTAACTCTGGAGAATTTGAAAGGTTTCAAAGTAACTTAACATTTTATAAATATTAAAAATTTCTATCTGAATTGGCCTCCCTTGGAAACCACCTTTGCACCTTTTGCCTAGCTTTGATCAATAGAGTTAACAGACTGATTTTCATGACTTTTAGGATAGAGTCAAAATATTTACATTCAAAATGATGAAAATGTTTACCTAACCAGTGATCAAGAAAAACTAGAACATAATTAAAAATCACATTAAGACAATAGAGCTAAGTTGCAAATCAGTTTTAAAAGGTGCTAGAGCAAAACATAAAGCAAAGTTTGGACATGGTTTGAAAGTTCTGCCACATGTTAGGTAGGTATCTTGGACGGGTTCCTTAACTTTAATTTTTTAAGGTGCAAAATCTGTATAAAAGTACCTGCTCTCTTGATTCTTAGCCTGACTTCTGGCACAAACGTGTTCATTAATGGTACTTGTTAAGCATATTTCCAAACATCTCTGAATCTCTTTTACATTTGGAAAATTAATATAATGCCCACAATGTAGGCTTATTTAAAATTAAGGTCACATTTGTGAAAATGTAGATTTTAAGTGCTAGCCAATATGCAAGTGTAGTAGTTTTTGCTATAATATTTTTAAGTAGTCTCTCCCCGGCCCCCCCAAAAAATACTGTAATACTAATTGTACAAGAACAGGGATGGGCCCAACTTCACTACAGTTGAATAATTTTTTTGTTAGATGCTAAATTATGTTTCTCCACAATAAAAACTGCTAATATTTATAAAATTTGTGCTATTTTAAATACTTATTAAACATTTTTACTTTAAAGTATTTTAAATACTTAATATGTTGATTTATTATGATTTTTTTCTCTGTAAATTTTTCCATTTTACAGGCCTAGAGAGGTTAAGAAATTTGTCCTGCATAAAATAGATAGTTGTATAATAGAGAGATACCCCTTTTGCAGTATGTGTGAAGTTTTGCAATCAGCTAGCTCTGTAAGCTTAGACAGTCACTTAACTTTTCTGTGGTTCTGTTTGTTATTTATGAAATGAGGATTAAAAAATAGCATCTGTCTCATAGATTGTAGTGAAGATGAAATTAATTTAAAGCATCAAGTTCTTAAAGCCATGTTTCACCTTAGATTGAGCTGAATGTAAGTGCGTTGTTAAAATTTTTGTTAGAAAATTTGGTAAGGAGAACAGAAACAATTATTATTAAACTTAAGATTATTGAACTTAAAGTGGGAAGGGGATAAATAGAATAATTGTGTGCAAAAGTGTGAGTGCTTCATTGAATAACTCTTTTCTCTGGTATGTCTGCCCTTCCCTTTTCTAGACTATTCTTCCTTGATACTAGTGTGTTCTGTTTCCTTGATCTCTAGATTATATTTCTTTGGCCTGAGTTGGGAGAGTCAGATTAAGAGTTCAGAGGACTTCATTTCACACTATAAAAAATGTAGCCAGCAGCTAAGACTTTTATTAATTTACCATCTGTCTTTAACCAAAATCTGAATCTAAGTATCTTCCAGTCTTAGAAAAAGGGCTATAAGATGAAGTCCTCTTCCTGTTCAGGACTGCCTCCATTTGATTTTTGCTTGCTTGTTTTTAATTTATTCCTTTTCCCTCTTCCTCTGGAACCTCATTTGCATAAATTATTTATCTTTTATTAAGTTCAGCCTAGATTAACATCCTCCCCTCAGCTGAAAATGATATTCAGTGTATTGCCTGTTATGAAAATTCTCCTTTCCTATAGTGCTTTCTCCTGTTCCTTATCTAAAGCCTTTTGGAAAACAATTTTCCTTTCAATGCCCTAACCTCCATTCGAGTTTCAGGGTCCCTGCAGGCTAACTTCCATTCCACTGAAATAGTTCTCTGTTTAGCAATCATCTATCTAACAGAGAGATTCAGATTGGATTTAGAAGAGACCGTAACACCAGGGATATCATTGTTGATGTTAGATGAATCTTGACTGAAAGCAAGAGTCCCAGAAAGACGTCTCCTTGTGTTTTATGGACTATACAAAGGAATTTAACTGTAGGGATCAGAACAAATTGAGGATGACATTAAGAAGAATGGGAATCTCAGAACACTTAATTTGTGCTCATGTGAAACCTATACCTAGCCCAGGGAGCTGCTGTCTGAACAGAGCAATTGAACACCGTATAGTTTAAAACAAAAAAGGTGTGCATCAAGGCTGTATCCTTTCTCCATACTTGTTTAATCTCTATGACGAACACATCATTTGAGACGCTGTATTTTATTAAGAAGAATGTGGCATCAGGATCTGCTTTATGCAGATGACGTAACCTTACTTGCTAAAAAACAAGAACTTAAAGTGCTTGCCACGAAAGATCAAGGACTACAGCCTTCAGTATAGAACACATCTCAATACTAAGAAAACAGAAACCCTTACCACTGGGCCAATAGGCAATATGTAAATGGAGAGAAGTTGGAAATTGTCAGTTACTTCATCACTAAGAACCACAATCAACAACCTTGGTATCAGCAGTCAGGAAATGAAAAGATGTGTTGCGTTGGGAAGTTTTGTATTCAGAGACCTCTCCAAAGTACTGAAGAGTAAGAATTACCATTTAAATACTAAGATTTGCCTGGTCCAAGCCATGATCTTTTCCATTTCTTACAGTGCATCTGAGAGTTGCATAGTGAATAAAGCCTACAGAAGAAGAGTCAATGTCTTTGAGTTTGGTGCTGTAGAAAAACACTAAATAGCCCAGGGACTGCCAAGAGAACAAATATGTCTTGGAGAAAGTACAGCTAGGATGCTCCGTAGAGGTGGGAGGATGGTGAAACTTGGTCTCACATACTTTGGGCATGTGGTTAGGAGTGACCAGTCCTTGGAGAAAATCTTTATGTTCAGATAAGTGGAAGATCAGTAAAAGGAGGGGAAGGTCCTCAATGAGATGGATTGACACAGTGACTAACAGTGGGCTCTAGTGTGGCAGCAGAGATGATGAGCGTGGCACAGGATAGGGCAGGGTTCACATATTCATAGAGTTGCTCCACTCAATGATGCCTAACTGCAGGTGAGAATTCCAGATGACCTTTTTGAGTACACAACGTTTCCCCTCATATCTTGACTTGGTTGACCAGTCTTTGAAACTGCTTTTTACCATTCTTTGATTTTAGTCTCATTTTTAACTTTTCCCTTTTCCTTCCTGTAAACTCCCTTTTTTTCTTAACTTTTCCTTTATATGCTGTTTTGAAGTTCTTTGTTATGTTGTTTTTTGGTGTTTTGTTTTTAAGATTTTTGTGTGCTACTTTGTGTCTAGTACTTTAAACATCTACTCTGCTACTTTTTGATTTGTAATAAATATATCAAGTAGTTTGAAATTTAAAAAGTACTACCTAGAGGAATGGATATTGCAAAGTTTCTGTCTCATTTCTTCCTGGAGCTAATTATAATAAAATTATAAGTAATAATTATATTTATTATATATTATATAATAGTATATTTATAATGGTATATAATTTCTTATATACCATTCTAGAAGTACCAGAAAATACTTTTTCATTTTAGTCTTTACCCTGTTCCCATATACAAAAACAGCTAAGTTAAAGCAAGAATAAATGTGCTTTATTTTCTTTAGTGTGGGGTTTCATATTTAGAACTAATAATGTACAAAGACTTTTATTTTGGATACATATTAAGAAAAATCATTTGCTAAATAATTCTTTTAAGTTTTATTCCATCACCCTTGAATGGGATTGAGAGTTCTATAACTCACACAGATGTTGTGTTGTTACGTGCCGTTGAGTCACTTGCAACTTACAGCGAGCCTTGAAACCTGCTCTCTCCTGTGTCAACTTTACTGTCTCTGACACACCTACCCTCATTACCCCAGCCACTGTATCAATTCACCTCATCACTGGCCTTTTTCTTTTTTTCCGTCCCTTCACCCTTCCAAACATGATGTCCCTCTCTAAGGACTGGTCCCGCCTTGCAACATGTCCAAAATATGTCAGACAAAGCCTCAGAATCCTTGCCTCCAAGGAGCAGGCTCATTTCACCCTCTCTAGGGTGAACCTCTTTGTTCTCTTAGCAGTCCATGGTATATTCAACACTATTCTCCAGCTCCACAGCTCAAATGCATCAGTTTTCTTTCCATC